CGTGTAAAATTACCTCCATTCAGTCTGAGGAAATGTTCCTCAACTCGGGCTCATAATTTATGCATGACCTAAAATTAGTCTCAAAGTGATAACTGTTGTTCGAGTGCTTATCTCTTACCAAAACACGCATTCTTGTCACGGTAATATTACCGAAAAAAGTCTATTACAGAAAATATAATATGGAGCTCCCGGCGCACCAGAAATCAGTTTTCCTCATGAGCAGCTCTTGTCAAGTGCGGGGCAACTGATGAATTACAAAATCCATCCAGTTACTCCACTCAAAAAAGGACAGTAGACAAACAAAAAAGGGTTCCTTAGATTTCTTGTTTACCACAAGGCCTCGGTTCGTTGACTTTGTCAAAAGCTTAGCGAGGTTCTCAACTTGTTAAAAACTCTGCCTAAAAATAAAGCTTGTGGTCAATATTGCGTTTCTGCAATGCTGTTAAAAGACACAGACGCAGTAATAGCTATCAGAACTGGATTTTTCCTAAGGGACCGGAAATTAGCAACAGTGACACCGATGTACAAAGATGACAAGAAGTGCATTCCTGGTAATTACAGACCAGTTTTTGTATTACCAGAATAACCAACTTTACGGTTATCTGACAGAGCATGGTTTACTTTCCGCACACTGTCAATCTCTTGACAGGCTTCAGACCCCTACATTCCACTCTGACCGCTTTGTTAGATGCGACTTATGGTTGGTTACTAAATATGGATAAAGGCCTATAAAATGTTGTCATATTCTTAAATCTTTAAAAGGCTGTCCACACTATGAATCACAAAATTTTGTTGAACAAACTAAAACTATATGGTGTATACCAAGCAAGCCTGAATTGGTTTGCTTTATACCTTACAAATAGAACAGAGAAAACTTTTATCGATGGTGTGCTGTCAGATAGCTGCATAATAAAATGTGGAATTGCCCAGGGTTCTATTCTTGGTCAGCTACTATTAGTGTTTGTATAAATGATCTTCCATCTTGTAACCTCTACTCTAAAGTGCAGATGAGTACATACTAGAAAACAAATGAATCATGATCTACATGAATTACATACATGGCTATTAGCGAATAAACTTAGCCTAATAATAATAATATACATATAATAAACCTTTTTTTTTATTGAGGGTAGCACTTAACATCTTCCGATAATCTACACATGGCCCTCAGAAAAAAATAAATAAATAATAAAATAAAATAAAATAAAAACAGAATAATCAATCAAAACGCTATGATTAACTAGGAGACTAACTAGTCAGGAGTTGCTAAGGATTGTTCATTACAGGGTTGGGGGAGCTACTTCCCATACATTCTCTTATATGAAATCCAAACGATGTTCTCACAACTTGCAAAGCGATCAGCAAGGTTCTTGCCAGCGGATTTGTGTACTGTTCATGCGCATTACGTCAAAACCATAAATCAACGGTCTTGAGAAGAAACAAAAGCATGGCGGTCGAAGGCGGGACTGTTTCTCGCTATTATATTTTGGTAATTCGCAATTTTATTGCTTTTATGTCGCTTTTCAGACATAGCGTGTGGTTTTCTTTTTCTGTTCAACAATTTCCCTCCGCAGAGTTTGGAATATGCAACATATAGCTCCGTGTAGCGAATAAGAATCGCTGAAGAGTTGAGCTATCGAGCAGTGTTTTGCTGCAAACCTTAGGAAAGTTAAAGTCGCTTCAAGGTACAGAGCTTTCAGTAGAAGTTGTGATTTGTTTATTAGGATCGTTTTGAATTTTAACGTAGGATTCAATGTGTTGACTGATCATAATAAACGAAGTGAAATGTTGTGAAGTGTGGATGTTTATTCAGTTATGATATGTAGAGCTGTAAGCTCATATTTATAAAGCTCTCTGAATATACTTGCTTCCGATAAATTTGGCACTTTCTCCAGTAATTTTTATCGGCATCAAGTTATCATTGCCCTGCAAAAACGATGTAACCTATAAATTGATCGAGCGCGTTGTTGTTGGTACACGGCTGCGTTTAGTTTCCTTCGCAATTTCAGTACCGAAAGACAAATACGATATGCAAGAAAAACAAAGATGCATGATATAATTTTTTTCAATTTTTTAAGCATTTCTTATTTCCTCTGCCGGTTCGCTTCTTGCTTCTAAAAAGTCTAAAAATATTTACTGTGGGAAAAAAGTGCAGTTATCCGCTGACCCTCACTCAGGGTGACCGCCTTGCAAGTTGAGAGAACATCGTTTCTCGGTCCCAGACCTCGTCTCTTCACCCCCCGCCTGGTTCATTACAATTTGCAAACTTCAATTCGCTTAGGTTTGTTTTCCAAAGACGTCAAGGTATGTAGAGCAGTCTTTCAACTCCTCTGTCTCCTCTGTCTGTTCCACAAACTTGCAGTACTGAACATTAATGACCACTGTCCGAGTGATTGTTTAATTCTGGGCAACTTCAAATTTCTTTTGCTATTTCTTTTTTCCCTGACATGGACTGCGCTGAATCTTTAAAACCTCTCTCCAATGTAGCTGGGCAGCAGACGATTCAATGCCTTAAAAACCATTTTTGCCTTTAGTTTGCCACTCGCTCTTGAAATGGGAGAATGTTAAGTTCGCTGAGAAGAGTCGTAGAAGGAGCGTCCCAGGGAGCATCCATTAGTATTCTGACAGCGCGCTTCTGAAGGGGAGCGTGGTATTGGAATGACTAATTCAGCTGTCACCCCATACCCAGGCAGAGTAATCCATCAGAGGCTGCACAAGAGCATTGTAGAACATTTATTTACCCTTGCACGGGATGTAAGAAATCGTTTTGAAAGTTTGAGAAGACCAAGTCTCTTGCAAATTTTCTTTCTGGTCTTTTCTACGTGTTCGTTCCAGGTGAGGCTGCTGCTAAGATAGATTCCAAGCAGTTTGGTGCTGCTGCTATTCTCTATAACTTGAAACTGGAAAGTGATTTTTAGAGACTCTTAGCTCCGTTCTTGGCACGTGATCGATGTTTAGGCTTGCTGCATATCAGTATACTCTTAGCCTTCTCAGTGTTCAGCGCCATTCGGTTATTTGCAGCCCATTTGTTGATGTTTCGAAGGTCCTCCTCCAAAGTCGATGCCACTTCCATGACATTATGGCCTGCTACAACTTGTGTGGTATCGTCGGCATAGGTGTACATGCTCTTCTTTGTTACACTTAGAGGTAGACCATTAATGAAAATGATAAACAAGAGCGGACCCAGAAGGGGACCTTGTGGAACCCCTGGTGTTATGGGAAGGGAGCTGGACATCACACCATTGATGGAAACTTTCTGTAGTCGCCCTTCAAGATAGGACTTGAGCCACTGTATCGACTCCCCTGATAGTTGGTAGACCACAAGCTTCCTGAGCAGGACCTCATGGTCAATCGAGGTAAAAAGCTTTACGAAAATCGATTAATGATAGTCCTGTCAAAAGACCATTGTCCATGTTCATTAGCAGCCTATCCACAAGCTCAATCATGGCAGTTTCGCAAGAGTAAAACAGTCTGAAACCTGACTGGTATTTGAATAGCAGGCCAAGCTGGTTTAGATACTCGTGCAATGCGAGATGAACATGTCGCTCGAATATCTTAGGCATCACAGGCAGAATGGTAAATATGACAAATGTGATAAAGACAAAATATATGATTGTAGCTAGTCAATATCGGATAAAAACACCTTGAGTACCAGTTAATATTCATGTCGATTATAAAACCCCTATTAGGGATGAGACGTATAAATATCTTGGTGTTGAAATAGATGAATCATTAACTTGGACAGATCGTGTAGACAGAATTGCTAAGAACGTTTCCCAATACCTTATTATACATTAATTATGATGTACAACTCCATTGCACCACCGTATCTCAATTATTCTAGTATAGTGTGGGGAGCTGTGGGAAGGGGATATGTAACAGTCTTCAGACCCTCCAAAACAGGGCTGCCAGGGTGGTAACCTCCTCTAGTAACGGTAGACGATCAATTGAGGTACTGTATGAACTCGGGTGGGATAATCTTCATGGGACACGAAGGACAAGGAAATTAGCAACAATAATGTATAAATTAAAAATAACATTGCACCAGGTCATCTGGCTCAAGTTTCAATAGGAGTAACATTATGTAGTCCTGTAATCTAAGAAACTCAAAACATAATTTATTTGTCCTAAGACCCTACAATGAGGCTGGAAAAACAGCTTACAATATGGAAGGGCGGTTCTCCGGAATAGTCTATCATGCAAACACTGTTAAAGGACAGACAAGCTTGAAGTCATTTATCTCACATTTGTAATTTATTGCCATTTAAATAACTATATTTATCTAATGCTGTTTTCTTGCATGGTTTTTGCACGGCTCTCTAGAAGAGCATTTTTTATAATGGGATTCCATGTTTAAGTAAAGATTCATTGATTTTCAAAATGATCGATTGGTTGGTTTTCCGGGGTTGACGCTGGAAAACCTACCAAGAGTTATTGATATGTTGTAGTGTTTCGGAACGCTTTTGCCTTCAGTATAAAGCCTTTGATCTTTTCAACAACATGAGGTACATTTTTGGGTGATGGCGCTGTTGAAGGCCTGTGACGTCACCAACAATGGTCGCCATCTTTGATTTTACTATGAAGTAGAAATCAAGTTTGAAAAAATAGCAATTTTTTGTGCTTGACATGAAAAAATAACACAAATAAGCACTTTTACAGTTAATTTTCAAGCAGTACGATCAACTTTGCAGATTTCAATATGCCCACATGGTATATTTCTGGTGATCAGGTGTTGACCTGATTCAGGTCAACTTCAGATAATAGTTCTGCGGCATACTCGATTGCGGTCCCTTCCAGTTAATGCTCTTTGCCTTTGAGTGGTTTAACTGTTTAGCGATGTGAATAGGGCTAATTGATGCCAAGTAGTGCAAAAAGTTACAATTTATCACCGGTAAACAAGACCCATAAATGGGACGAGGAGTTATCCTCACCTTTTCCACAGGGGAGTCTTACTCCACTCCTCCTCCCAGTTACTATCAATACCCTATGGTTAGAACGTTTCAGCTATATATCAAGGCGACGGCGAAGGTGAAAAGCAAAGCATCATTAGTAAGCATCTTCAAACTTCTGGACTTTAAAACTGGTCCAGGAAACCCATTGTCTGCTATTAGCTGCTTGAAGAACTTGGCTGACTTCTTGGGAACACGGGTGAGGCTAGGGTTGTTTTCAAAGTCGACAAAATGTATCCCGTACGGAGTGGAATAAGCAGATCCCCACTCGAAGTTATCCATCAACGTCCACGCCATGTAACCTTTCACTTTAACGCCGTCATCGGTGATCGCTTTCAACATCTCATTAGTATATCTGCAATAAATCCAGAAATATGCAATAAATAGATGAGAACACCCATGATCGTGATCAAGGAAAACTATTGACTTCAATGTGTTTTAATAGGCTGTGATTTTACCAAGTTCTCGTCTAACGGAAGTAGCCGCTGTTACCTAAACTATGGGGCACTAAGAGGAGCTGTTACAGCTGTCAAGAAGCCTGTCCTTTTGACTAAGTAACAACATCCGTGATAAATGTCCTAATTCAACCTAATTGCTGCCGCGCGAGTGAGCCTGAAGCGAGCAAGCAAAGCAGTAGATCTAATCTGTACAGGGACAAAAATTTCGGATTCCTACCCACGATGCATCTGGATTTTTAACCACAAAGTACCGGATTTTTACCACTATTACTTGCACACGCATTGCTTTCATACACCAACTGTTGCATGTAGTTCGTTGCTTGAAATCCTCTCTTGTAACGTGTCTGTGATGAATTTCTCTTTCATGACATATATATTAGCCAAGATATCTTCACACTGCCGATGATGTTACGTTATATGTCTGAAGCTTTCGTAGTCTCGAAAACTCTCTAAGAATGTAATATGTGTTTCTTTCGAAATTCTTTTAAAATCGGGTTTGTTTTTTGTTTTTTTTTTTTCATTGTCTTCTACGCCTGTGGTTTTTACTAAACTATCATTCCATAATTGACCACTCCAGAAAATACCATAACATACCATAATGTTCTTTGTTTGTCACCCCAAAATTTTGCATAGGCATTGTCTTCAGTTTCTCTTGGGAGTTAAAATGGCCCGAAGAGAAACTGAAAACAATGCTTATGCAAAATTTTGGGGTGACAAACAAAAAACATTATGGTATGTTATGGTATTTTCTGGAGTGGTCAATAATTCTTGAAGAAAGTGTTCTCATAAACCCGAGTAAAACTTCTGACGACTTGGCGAACAAATTGCGTCACAAAAGCTACACATTAAGTATTCTAATTGCGCGCGCTATCTGAACGCGAGAAACAGTACGGCAGCACTCGTTTACCTTTCAGGTACTCAATTATTTGTATATCTGTACGTTAATTACCGTTTTCACTCCATTAAACCCCGCCATCGAATAGAAGCCGCTCTCGAATAAACGCCGCACCCAATTAGCAGAATTATGCGGCGTTTATTCGAGGATAATAAGAAAAATAGTGCAACTTTGTAGTGTACACTACTACTCAGATAATTATTACCATTCTCTCTCAGCAAAAAGTGAGACATAAGAACTCAAAACATATTTCTGTTTTACATAATACAGTCAACTCCCTTTATAACGGACACTGTAGGGACCTCAAGTTACTGTTCTTTTTAGCGGGAGTCTGTAATAGGGGGAGTTTATTTCACTCAAACGTTTCTAATTTGCTTTTGCCGGGGGTTTAGCTACTGTCCGTTTTATCGGGGTGTCTGCAAGGCGAGAGTTGACTGTATTTACAATTGAATCATCGTAATTGTTGTCAGTGACTTAAGAAATGTGATTTTGAAATAAACGGCGCCTTGAATATTAATAAACGCCGCATCTGAAACAATTAGTATTCAACTAAAAGCCGTGGCGTTTAATCGAATAAACACGGTATTTACCTCTTATGGTAGTCCACTCTGAAAGCGTCATCCAACCTCTTTTCACCGGTTTTACTCGCTTCTGTAGGAGGTGAGACTCCATTCTCCGTTACGATAACGGTTGGGTCGTTGTAATTGTCTTTTATGTATTTCAACAGCTTACGGAATCCAAATGGAGCCACGTGACCGTTGACCCAATCTGGCCAGGCAGGGTCACCACTCTTTTTGAAAGCCTCGTCGGCATTAAACGATTGTTCGTCTCCTGAGGGTCTGTCAGCTACTTTGTCGGTGGAGTAATGATTCAGGCCAAAGAAATCGTAACTTCCTTTGATCATAATTTTCTCTTCCTCAGTGAAGCTAGGCAGGCGGCTTGCAATCCCAGCAGCCTCACTACGGTTACCCACAATGCTTTTAACAACATCAGGGTAATCACCATTCACAAATATGGGATGCGCAAAGATGCCAAGATGAAACTGCATGTACCTGTCTGCAGCGGCCATGTCCTGGATCGAGTCAGTTTTTGGGACAGCCCACCCTGAGCTTAAAGCAAGCATTATATATCCACCCTGCTTTTCATAGAAATTCTCCTTGTAGGTCTGATACGCTTTGGCATGGCCAAGTATTTGGTTGTAAGCCGTGCGATATCGTAGAGTCGATAGCTTGGTTTTATTCGATATGTCAAACATGTAAAAGGGATGACGTAACATGACGATCGCCGGCTCGTTCAGAGTGATCCAGTATTTCACTTTACTCCCGAATTTGTCGAAACAGAATCGAGCGTAGTTATCGAAGTAGTCGACCATACTTCGATTGGTCCAGCCACCAATCGATCGGAAAACGTCTGGTAGATCCCAGTGATAAAGTGTGACGAGCGGTTCGATGTTATTCTTTTTGAGTTCGTCGATCAAATTGTTGTAGTAGTCGACGCCAAGTTGGTTCACGTGATCTGTTGTGCCGTGAGGGAGGACACGACTCCATGCGATAGAAAATCGATAAGCTTTAGCCCCGTAGTTCTTCAAAATGTTTACATCCTCTTTGTACTTGTGGTAACTATCGCACTCCACATCTCCCGTTTTGTTGCGGAATTGATTGGGTACGGTGTGGTCAAGAAATCATAAATACTTGGTTCTTTTCCGTCTTCATTCCAAGCTCCCTCCACTTGATATGCCGATGTGGCAGCTCCCCAAATGAAATCATCAGGAAATTTGCCGTATTTGAAGTCGTCGTATGTCGTCGCAAGAGACCCAGCAAAGGCGAAATACAGCAACAAAATAAAAGAGCAAATACACGCCATGATGCTGTATCGGATCTGTAAGTGACTGATTGATTAAGTTTCCTGACCTTGATGCTGTACTGCTGGAGTGCAAAACGCAATAATGTCAAGTGTATTGTGTATTGTTGTGTCTGTTCGACTATTTCAGTAAAGTTTCTTTGATTTGATGAGTCTACCACTGTAAGCAAAAGGAAAATTGTAATGGATTTCACGCTTCGAAAGCATTTAAAAATAACTGCTGACAGGTCCTGTTTGTTTAATTGAGGGTCGGCTAAAGTCGGATTATATAACATGATATACAAGAACGGATTGGTGTTCTCTTGTTTCAGCTTCATGCAGTTGTTGATTAAGAACGGAATTATGAAATCAATATAATTAGAAGCGAATGGGGAAAGCACCTATTAAACTGTAGCAGAAGAGACGGCAAACTTTGCGAAAAAATCACGTCAACAGAAATCTTCCAGACGTTTGTATGTTGGGGAGAGAAGATTTGTCCCCAAAGAACAAGCATCTCTTAAAATGTCTGCTTCTGCGAATCTAAAATTTATCTTTTTAAAATCTAGAGTTACGTCATGCTATTCCTTTAATTTTGGTCTGATCTGTTACAAATTAATTATCGGCATTACTCTACTACACGCCACGTTTTAAACGTAGAAAGACAGCAGAAACAAGAAGGAAAGCAAAGATTATCTGTTTATGGTGATGAATTATGTAGATCCATTGAGACAAAATAAATATGACGTATTTCACCGTGAAAACAAACCTAAATAACCGCGGATCCGTCTTGTGATTGAGGGTCAGTAAAGGTCTATAAGAAAAATTGCAAGTATAAAAACCCAGAATGTGTGGTTTTGGTTTTTTTCTTGTTGTTGTCTTTTCATCTAGTAGTTACTGAAGCAATAAAGCACCTTTTGTGTACTGCGCTTTATATTTTCGTAGTTTATAGAAGGTATTGAAGAAGCATTTTTGTAAGTTTGCGTAAGCTTTTTGTTTTACTTGTCATGGGGGAGCATTGTGGTTGTTGGTTCGATTTCTCTTTTATTTTGGCACGCAAGTCGGTTTCGGTTTCCATTACGAATGCAATTATTTCCATTTGGTATTGATTGCAGTTTTTTTTTTGAGCAAATTTATGGCGAGCTTTAATTTAATAAATTGTTCTATCTATAATCATTATTATAAACCGTTAGTAGGTGGTTAAAATTGGAAAGAGATGGGAAAAAAGATGGAACTTTTTCATCTGATCCAGCAGGAATACTTCGGTAAAACTCGATTTTACATAACCACGGTTATCAGTAACCCAGACTTGATTAGCTTGACTGTGGTGTTTTTGTGTCTCAAATTATTTTATCTTTAGTTTTTGTAGTGTTTTTATTGGGGTTTTTAAATTTTAATTTTTACCGTAAGTAGTTTTAAATTTTTTAAACTTATAAATAGCGCCTTTGGACACTAGGAAAGGGCGCCTTATAAATGTCTCATTATTATTATGTTAATTATTATTATTAGCTAACCTTTATAGTATCAGTACGTGGTATGTCCCAAGTCCAATGGATTACCAGCTAACTTCACGCCTGACGAGACATAGCAAAAAAAGCAAGGCAAAGCCAAAGTAGCACTTTTGTAGAGTTGGATTATACAATAAATGCTTAAAATAACTGCTATTTCGTTAGTAGCAGTTACCATGGCAACGTATTTTAAGGATTATTTGGACCTCCTTTTTAGCTTGCAGCACAGATAACTACAAATCTAAGCCGGTGGACCTAAAATGAAAATAATGCACGGTGGAAAATAGGACATTTTGTGCAGTGGAAATTTCCTTACGCAGAAAGCGGTGAAAAACAACAATAGGTCTAATTAGCAAAAAAGCAACTTTGCACGTGCAGCACTCTTATTTGTACATTTCTTTGCCGTAGTTTTGTACGACTACAACGTGAAACTTCCAGAAACTTCTTAGTTACACGTTTTATGGAGGATATGTGGTACGCGTTCTAGTTCACTTTTATTCACTGCCGCTCATTTTCACCTTGCATTGGAGCAAAATTTCCATGTTGTTCTTCCAACAAAAAAAAAATGTCTCCTTTGTTTTTGTATCTCTGCTCTAAATCTCTGTCGCCCTTTTCCTCGTTGAGATTCGCTCTCCCGCCGCCCACTTTCTCTTTTTCTCTGTCTTTCTCTTGCTCTTTAGTAAAATCTAACTAGTGGTCTATTATCAATGCTGCGTTCTGATTGGTTGAGCTACTACTAGGCTATCTGTTATAGCCTACTAGTAGCGAAAAGAGCTTTTTGGCGGCAAAAAGTATTGAAGTCTAGCACCCAACTAGCTAAATTTTTTTATTCTCAATATTTTTGACAAACTGGTTGGATTTTACTAAAACAATTTTCCTCTCGCCCTCATGGCCTCTAAATCAATAGCCCATCAGACCTTCGGCCTCATGGGCTATTAACTCAAACCCATTCGGGCTCGAGGAATAATGTTAAGTATTCAAATTTGTGGACATGGCAAATTATCCAAGCTTAATACTTTAGACAACACGGATACAGAAACAATTTCCGCTTTTTCGTTTTCTTTATTGACTCTTTTGTTGTCTCTGCTTTAAAGGACGCCGTTGGCTATGTGAATTCCCGCCAAAATAACCTAGGGTTGCATTTGGGTTGCCATATCTTTTGATTGAGTTATTTTACATTGGTATGTCTGTGGTGCGGACGGACGGTCTCTCGGGCGGGCGGTCGGTGTACGGTCACGTGATTACCAAATTTTCTCGGATGGGTAGATTACTTTATTTTCTTACCCATGGTGCTCCGCTGGCGCGCTTCGCGTGCTAAAGCTCCGCTATTAAAGCAATAAACATAGGGGATCGCCGGACTTGTATTCTTGTAAGATGCTTCGAGACTTCACAAGTTCCCAGGCGCGCATTTTTTCTTGTAAAATCAGGATTCTATAAGAACAAGGGGTTACTCATGCACTGTATTGACTACCGCTGACTGTTGCATGCACGCTTGCGGGCAATTATCGAGTTTGCTTACAGTCCTTGCAAAGGAGAAAAAATTACACGCCTCTAATTTACGCATTATTATAATTTCTTAGGTTTTCCCATTCAGAATAACGTTTGGTAACTTGAAACATTGCCTTTTTGGGTTCACTTTACAACATCACGAGACAAAGCGAAGTGGCAAAGGCAAAATTGCTTGCGGGAGACTGTCAGGCGAATCGACTAAGTTTTCGACAGTTTTTTTCGTCACTCTTGTAAGCACAAAACACAGTAGCTTTGAGGTAATCATGGTCTAAACGACGAAATGTAGCCAAGAGGAAAAAGTGTGGCTAACAGCGGTAGTATTCCAGTTTGTTTGTTTGTTTTTTTTTTTTGTAGTTGTGCCAGTACTTAAAGAGTCGCTGTCACGATCGCAGTGCATTTGCAAGTATTTCTTTTGAAGCTTACGCATTAAGCGTAGAAATAATTGTCTTTTTGAAAACATATCCGTAAAAAACGATTTTACCATGTTCATAGAGTCTGATAAACACGAGTTTTATTTTAAACTAATATATACCTCTTATTAGCCGAGTTTTCGGTCCGTACTGTAAATTACGGACCGAGTTTTTTTCCATCGATTTATGGCCCAAACGGATGGAAAAAACGAGCCTAATAAGATGTTTATTATATGGCTTCTTCCTGTTTGGGGGACCAGAAACAAGTGCAGGACGTACGATTTGACAGTCATTTGACAGGCGTCAAAAAAGAAAGTTTTTATTGGCACACAAAAACAATAGCACATAACAAAGGCTTTCCGAGAAAGTAAAAAACAAATTCGCCACGTTGAAAACGGTCAAAACTAAGAGCACTGTAAGTTTTAGCTCTTTAATGTAACGCTGGAGTATTTTGTAAACCGAACACTATGTCTGCCTAGAAGTCGTTTCCATCTTTCCTCCGTGTGTCCTTGTAAAAAATACTGCAAAAGGCAAAGAAGCTTTTCAAGGTAAGTTTGTTGTCATTGTCGAAGGATTCGCTCCTTAATTGTTTTTGGGAAAACTCCTCTTTCTGCCAGTTCATTCTCGTCTTCAATTGTGATCTGCCGTTAAAATTTTCAAACAATGAGTAAAATTCTCTTCCTCGGTAAGGTTACGATTCAGTTTGTACATCAGCTTCGTTCTCATTAAAACAAAGCTAGGTTAAAATTTGGAAAGCCAAAGTCAACATCCCAGTCCTCAGGGTTTACAGACATATTTTAAAGTTTATTCGGTCAAAACTAAGAGCACTGTAAGTATGCACTCGTTAGTGTGACGCTGGAGTCTGTTGAAAACTGGACATTGTGTCTGGCTCGAACTCGCTTCTATCTTTCTTTCGTTGGTCTTTGAAAAAACACGGCAAATGGCAAAGAAGCTTGTCAAGATGATCGGGTGCAGGTATGTTTGTTATCATATTTGTCCAAGGAATTACTCAATTTCTCTTAGGCAAAACATCTCTAATCTCTGCCAGTCGATTTTCGTCTTCTTAACTGTGTACTGTGAAAAAATTTTCAAACACTGACTAGAATCCT